TCTTGCGCTAGACGTAGCTACTGATTTAATCGGTAGGAACAGAGATAAAGATATACAAACTTTATTTTATGAAACAAACGGAGTTAAAATGCTACTAGATATTTTGAAAGTATATATATATATATATATATTTTATATGGACAATTATATTTTTTGTTAATAAATTATTTTAAGTATATTTAATTATTTTGTAATTATACATGTTAATTGTTGGCCAGAATGACGAGTGGAATGATTTGCACATTAAAGCTTTAAACGTATTACGTTTTGCTGCCGAAAATCCAGTCGTCGTAGATGAACTTATTGACAGCGGAAATATTCCACAAATATTAAATTACATAAAGCATACGGAAAATCCGAAACTTTTTGTAGAAGCGCTTAGAATTTTTGTACATGTTGCAAATACCTTCAAGGGAAGAAAAGTAATTTTATGGTTATTCAAATATATATAAAATACACAGAAGAGACAACACATTCTTCTTAAAGTTAATAAAATATTAAATTAAATTGTATAATTTATAGTTACTCTTTTAATAGATTTTATATTCCCACGAGATTATTGAATGTTTAATAGATACTTTGCGACAACCGATACAATCTGACATTGTTGAAGTTACTTGTTATGTAATTGGGAAAATGACACTTTTTGATCATGCTGCAAGAAAACTCGCAAGCACGGAGTCTATTAAAACTATTTTAGGTTTCATAAAGAAGTAACATAGATAAGAAATTTTTACATTAAAGAAGGAAGGTAAAGATATAATATTATTTCAGATTTACTGAAAAAAGAAGATTTGCAGTGGTCTACAAGACACGCCGCAAATTTCGCAATCAAACAGTTATTGATGAGCAATATTAAAAATTGCAATATTTTTTCAAATATTAATGGACCAGTAACTATTTCAAAAGTTTATGTTTTTTACTTATTAATATATTAATATTCTAATATATTAATATATTAATATATTAATATTCAGAATAATTTCAACAAGAATTATCTAACAAGAATTATCTAAAGTACCTTAAAAGAATATTTTGCATAATCCGTCGCAGTTTTTTTTATTTATCTTACTTGAATAACATGTACATTATACTTAATATAAATGTATAAATAATAATCACTTTCTTCTTTAAGGATTATATGTGGCAAATGTTAAAACACTCAACAGAACAAGTTCCTGTAGAAACTTGTATTATTGCTCTTGAAGTTCTGCTTACCATGGCACGACATCTAACTTTCAGAGATACAATGATTAATTTTGACACTATTGACACAATTTGCTTGCTTTTAGAGGTAAAAAATAAATTCTGATATGAAAGTATTCTTTTCTAATATATTTTAATACGTTAAATATGTAATACGTTAAGTATGTTGCGCTGATTTCGACTAATTGTTCAAGCTAAGTTAAAGATCATATTTTCAATAATATTAATGGAGAATTTTTTTCTCTCATCTTCATTTTTATCGCAATATAATATTAAGAAATATTAATCTTTTAGTCAACTTATCCATTTGTCGATGAATTTAAAATCGCTTGCTGCAAGTTACTTTCTGCATTATGCTTAGAAGAAAGTGGACGGGATTATTTTCTCAAAGCAAAAGGATCCCAAAGAATATTCGCTCTCATTACTGATGCTTATTCAGTTTCAGTAAGAAACACTACGCTACAGTTAATACAAGCAATTTCTACAGATTTAACTGTAGCAAAGTCCTTCGTAGAAAATAAGTACCTTCTATAGTAAGTTTCATGATAAGCTTTCTTTTGCAATTTTATATATGTTTTGAGGAAAGATCAAGATACTCTTTCATAAGAGATGAAACTCCGAAATATACTAATTGAAATTATTACATAGAGTTTTATAGTGATAATCTAATTTTATTCTACAGCATGTTGAATAACCGTTTATCTTCAAAAATTCCTTTATGGGACACTTGCATTGAGATTCTTCTTAAATCGCATTTACCAACTAAATTTGCTTTTACGGGACGTTTGTCTTTACATGATCTTACTCAGGATGGGTTTTATGTCTCAAAAACCAATATATGCCCGTATGTAAATTTTTGTTATAGCATACGAAAAGAACGTCTTAGTAAAAATTTTTTCCAGAACTTCTATAGAAATTTAGAATTTTTTTGAAATTTTTGTAGCTTTTTAATTTTTTAGAAAAGTTTTTTTTACAAGTTGGAATACTTTAGAAATACCAAAAAAATCTATATCTTCTTTAGAATTTTTAAATAAATATAAATTCTAAATATTTTTTGACATTTCTAAGATTTCTCATTCCATAATTTCCGAAGAAAATCTAAATCTAAATAGATTTTATGTATATTGTTTCAGAAATCTTTATAAAAATACAAAAAATTCTTAGAAATGTTATAAGATACAACGAGAATTTTTTTTAGAGTGATTTTACTATAAATAAAAATTTGGCAGAAATATAGATCGAATACCTAATAATTACATTTAATCATCAAGATAAATTATATAAAACACTCAAGCATGATGATGCTGTAAAAAGTTTTAACATTCTAGCAATCAGTTTAAGCGTTCAATGTAATTATTAGGATAGTTTAATATAATTATTTTTAAATCTGTATTTAACTAAATTTTTAGATACTTCAGTAGAATCGTTCTTTCTGTAATTAAATTAGCTGAAATTGTTTTATTATCATTTGTAATGTTTCCATAACTATTTTGTTTAGATCTCCCGTGTTGGATGATATTTTCCGAATCAAATTTTGTCCCTTAGAACCCATTTATGTGGTAAATTATTTGCAATTACCAACGTCGGACACTTTACAGAACGAGATAACTTTCGAAAGTAATAAAATTTTATATTTTATATAAAAAATGAAGAGGGTTAATGAAAGAGAGAGAGAGAGAGAGAGAGAATTACTTTAAAAAATTGTGTTTGTTTGTAGGAGACATAAATGCGTGGCTCGAATCAAAGTTCGGTCGATTGCAATGCGATCCACATTTTTCTGAATATGTGGAACTCTTTAAACGTGTGCTCTTAGCAAAGGAACTAAAAGATGTGTTAGTAGAGCTTCTAAAAATCTTATCTAAAATAATTCATATATCCCATTTAGTAGGATTTTATACAAACTCTTATATAAAATAACTTATAATATGCAGCTCAGCGACAGAAAAAAATACAGATCGAAATATCCAATACGTTCTCTCACGTGCAAAGATGTTAGCTGTATTCGTGGCGCGTCAAATGTCTGGTGTCGATTCAGCGGGAATTAGATGCATCGGTCAGCAACTTGAAGTTCATTTGAAGCAAATTAAAGAATGTTTAGAAACGAGCATGATTCCGCTTGGGCAACTTCGTGTTGGTTCTTATCTCGAGCGAGCTATGCTTTTCAAGGCGATAGCTGATAGAATATGCCTTCCAGCAGCTTTCGTACGCGGGGAATACGGTGTCTCGTGGATTGAAATAGCCATACCTCAAGTAATATACATATTACTTATGTTAAAGCGGTGTTTTTTAAATATATTACGTTATTTATGATTCAACGCGTGTCTTGCAGACGGATGACTTAAATGAAGGAGGATTATTTGATGCTTGTTTATTGGATGGAAATAATGATGATTATGAAAAAAGGATTACGACCGAATTATTAGACAAGTCAAATGTCTTCACATATCAGAACGGACATGAGAGAGAAAAAATTTCCCTCTCTCGAGATTATCAATCGACGATTTACCCAACCAAGCTTATGAAACCGAATTTTATCGTGGATTTGATGGATACACCGGGAGATTTGATCCCAATTGGAAGTCCTCGTTCAAAAGTATATACTATTAAAAAAATAACTTATAACAAAACATGTTGCTATTAAAAACTGATTTATTATTATAAGATTTATAATATAATAACAATTTTTTAATAAAATAGTATTTTGATTTTAACCAATCTTATATTTAAAAAAAAAAAAAAGTCACAAAAAGTTTCTGGAAATGATTGGAATGTAATTTACAAAATTCTTGTCTTATATACATATAATTGTGTATACCTATATAAATTTTTTATATAACTATAGATAATTTTATATAATTTTATATTACTTATATATATAATTATATAAAAAATAGTTTTTTCCGAGTTGTGCATATAACTTCAATATATAAAATTTTTTATCAAAGTTATCAGCTTCAACTCAAGTCGATACGTGTCGCTAGAAGCCATGTAAGTAAAAAGCATCCATTAAACACATTTGTACCTAATATAATATAAAGACATTATGTTGCAAGTATTACGTATATAATCATTTATCTCTTATCATAAAACAAAAATAAATATTCCGCAAAAAGAAATGCAATCTAATCTAGATTATCTGTGTGCTCATTCTGTTCAATACTTGCTGGTTGAATGGCATATACATACGTTATACGACATTATATATTTAAATAATTATAGTATTTTCTATATATTATATATATATATATATATATATATATATAAATAATACATATCACAAGATTTTTTAACATTTGCTTTATCTTTTTCAAGTGTCAATTGTGTTTTATTTATTAGCAATAACACTACACATTTTATTAACATTATATAATAAAACGTGAGACATAAAGTAGGATATATACCTACAAAAATATATTCAAAGTGTAATATCATAAGAATTGCTTTGTGGCTTTTACAGGAGGTAGTAAATAGCGTTAGATTTTATGAATAAAATCAATATCATGTTCACTTGAAATTAAATCCAAAAAGGATAAAGTATTTGGTGAACTGATCCGCAATTAGTACATAGGGTCTAATTGTGGACAATTGTTATTACTTCATTTAATTAAAATTAAAACATATAAAACGGTATCGAAATGAAATAAAATCATCCATAATGTAATCTTTATGATCACTCGTAACTATTAAATATTTCATTAAATGTTTGATATCGTTCTAGATAAAAATATGAATTTTTTTTTCAGGGATGATTCACAACTAGTGGCCTTAATCTATAAATAAAAATTCCGTGAAAAGAAAGGCAATCTAATCTAGATTATCTGTGTGTTCACTCTGTTGTTCAATACTTGTTGGTTGAACGGCATTTACATACGTTATATACGCTCAGTATACATATCTTACAGTGTAGTTCTCACAAAATTTCTAGAGAAACTGCGAAAACTATTTCTGAAAATCTTATAAAAAATATTAAAACGTATTTGTGTCTCGAGCAGCAAGAATAAATTCAGTTAAAATACTAGCCGACTCGGAAATTATGACAGAGACGCTAGAAAGAGCGCTGGCACCACTAATGACCATTGGCAAGTTCTGCAATTTGGGCGTATTTGAATATCCTGTTGGACAACCTAGAACGTGTATCTCTTACCAGTATGCTTTGGCTAAATGGAGCCTTTTTATATACTTCTATCACTATCCAAAGTACATCAATGAGTTTCAGATAGATAAAACATTTAACATCAATAGTATTGTACCGTTGGTCACCATTACATTAATTCTCATTAGCATCTATCGTTTTAAGGTAAAAATTTAAAATGTACTCCTCGGCCACTATATAAAAATACTTTTAATCAAACTCAAGCTATGCAATCTATCGCATTCCGCTCTCTCACTAATCTGCTCATTTCTCATAAATCGTATGCAGCAAGTTATAATATATCCTTTTCCTCTTTTCTCCTCTCCTCGTGCCATTTTCTCTAGACTACCCCAAGGTCTCGGATTTTTACTTTTAATATTTTTGTCTCTGATTTGTCTAATGTTTCTCTATTCTCCGATCTCTTCATTTATGCAGACGACGTAATTCTTCTCAAATCCTTTTATCCATTCGATGCTTTAGCAAACTGTTCTGCTTTAAATAAAATCTAAAATCTATTGCTGAATAAACAGTTCAAATAGTGAAAGATACAAAATTATAGACTTTTTTAATCAATAGAATAAAATATAACAGCGAAATTCACTCACCCCACCTCCAACAACGATCGCACGTGGATGCAAACATCATTAATCCATTAAACAAATTTAAGATTCACGATTGTCAAAGTTAGATTAAAAATAATTTAAGTACCAACAAAGACAATCATGTTTCCGAAACCGTGACCGTTTGGTCACATAATAACCGTTAAAAACAAAAAAGATGTGTCGTGAGAACAGAAATGTATCGGTCAATTAAAATAAATATATTATAACTTATTAAGAATTTTTATGCAATCATGATTTAATGCCTCAGTGTCAGTTTGCATGTTGAGATCATTTGATTGGCGATTTATGTAGAGGATCTTCGACATTATTCGTTTATTACAATTTTTGTTAATATTCCGCATGCGCGTGCGCGTATGTGTGTGTGTGTGTGTGTGTATGATTTTAACTATTGTTTTATCACTTATTGCATCGTTGCCTTATTAATCTGTTAACGTGTAATCTTTTCCATAGCGCTTTGCAATAAACTAAATTAAATTTAAAAAAAAAAAAAGTTTTTTTGACAGATCAATTTTCATGCTTACATTATTATAATCTGATCATTCTTATAAACTCTTTATCTGTCACATTCCGTGTAAACATTGTAATAACAACACACAATTTTTACTCAAAAATAAAATTACAATAATATTTTTTGTGTCGCATAATCGATCAATGTGATTTTTTTAAAGGAATTGAAAATGTGTTTACATGAACTTGCTATAGTAGACCACACGTTGGAAGCTCTCGGAACACCAAAGGAATACCAAAGGCTACGTAATTGGATAATTCGAATAATAATCGGATGGATCGTATATGTTTTTTGTCAATCAATATATTTGACTTTTCTTCTTATTTTTCTTAAATACGACATAACTTTATTTTGGAATCTGATGTTAGATACATTTCTGGAAAATTACGCGTCAGACGTCATTATCTTGAGTACTATGATTTCTGCAACTATCCTTGGGTTAGTGTTATACATATGTGTATTTAATTTGTAAGTTATTTTTATTGAAATTGTGCGTCATAATGTTTACAAAGTGGAACACTTAAAGACCTTTTGGTTAACATATAAAGAAAGAAAGCCATTTGCGTTAGTGACCATGACCTTGACAACATATATATGTGTCTGTATTTTATGTACAAAACATATATATATAAAATACTTATTTTGAATATTAAAAATATACTAAACAACAGTTTTATTTAAAATAAATAATTATTTACTATTTTTCAAATATTTGTAAGAGATGAACATCTTAAAAAAAAACGCTGTCAAGGAAGTAATATTGAGTAATGTAATCAAATAAACACATGGTCAGAATTTTCATCTCCAGTGAACTTGATCTTGACATATGTCGTCATAAAAAAAGTAACGGCAAAACTAACGGTAAAATTGTAATATAAAAAGTAACAGTAAAATCGTCATAAAAAAAGTAACTACAAAACTAACAGTAAAAGTAACTTCCATCCCTGGCTGTAAGGGAGAGCTGCGCCGTATGTCGACAAGTAGTTATAATACGATTGAATTGATGCTACGTTTCCACAGTTTGAAAAAATAATTCAAATTTTTTTCATTTTTTTCTTTTTATTTGACATTTAAGAAAATAGAAAAAATTAACGACTATTAATTCTAGTTTGGGCGATAATGACATGTTCTCTGAGAGTATAACCATAAAAGTAGAAGTCAATCGGACTAACAATCTTTTTGGAATCACCATATTCGAAACATGGTTTTGGAAAAAACGCGAATAATGTTCTGAAACATTTTAGTACAAGTACCGCTCCGTTTTCCGTTAGGAGTGAAAGTGACACTCAGAAGGGAACGAAACTTTACTCTATTGGATAGAAATATTCTGGAATGGTATCGAAAGGTTGAATATAAATAATGGCGAGCGCTGGTTATAGCAATTGATTGGTGCGCGCTATTTGTATCGATCAAGCGGTCCTAAACACCACGTCATTTTATTTCGTATATTTTGGACAATTTTTGTTTCTCCTAAAAAACGTTTTTATGGAATATTCTTAAGGCTAAGTTTTCAAAAGAGCAAAAAAAAATCAATTTTTTTTACCCCTAAAACGGAAAAACCTTCTTAAAATGCATTTGTTTAATGTTTTTAATAATTGTTTAGCAATTTCGTTTAACATTTCTCAGCTTACTGATTAATAAATTGTTATTTTCTGTAAGGCGCTAATGTTCAGGTGGCTTTCTTTTTCGTTATCTAAAAACGAATTATAGATTAAAACAACTGAAACTAAATTATAAATTTTGGATAAAACATATTTTAAAATTCTGCTTCTCATATATGTATAAAATATTCTATTGAAACATAAACAGTAAATAATTAAATTCTAATTTAGTCCGATTTCTGATTATTTATTAATGCAATTAGTGTTAATAATGCTTATACATAATGCATATTTTATAATGTTAATAAAAGATATAACTGAGTCTTTTTTAATTCAGATGCATAAACTCCAGATTTCATCGAGTCAATGAACGTTTGTATATATTATATTCTGATCTATTTGAAAGTAGTGCAGATTACAGAAGACAAAACAGATCCATCTTTGCGCATCAGCGGATAACAGAAGCTAAAGATCACAATCAATATATATGGATTATAATGTAATAATTAATAAAATTAATGTGTACACACATGTACGCGAATGTATATATGTATACAGAATGTCTCAATCTAACTTTTACATTGACATATTTCAAAAAGTGTATATATATTAAAAAAATGTTTTCTATGAAAGTGCAACTGTTTCGAGCGAGGCCTATTATGATCACGTTATTCTTTTCTAAATAGAGATACGATGAGAGACGCAATGAAAATGATATAATATTTATTCACGCTTTTTAAAATGGAATTATATGATTTTTTACATAATATGATTTCTCTATAATCATTCTGCATGTAAAAGTATTAAGTTAGAAATATAAAGAACTAATAATTTATGAGATATAGGTTTTTCTGGCACATATAATTGACATGACACATTAAATATCTTGTAAAGCATTAATTTTTTGAAAATCGTAATATTCTAATACGTTTATGAATTTATAATAATATGAGATAAATCAGGTGTAAAATATAACATATACTTATTTGTTTAACAAAATTATTCAATGTGCCTACGTGTTTTTTTTTTTGGAAAACTTTAGAAAATGGGCGACCTTTCTTCAATTTCAATAATCCTGACATATATTTTCAAATAAAATTGATGATATTAACGTATATTTAACACTTTGTTTTTTTTCCAAGTGGAGCCAAGTAAAGCAGATAAATTCTCTACTTTAAAACATAAATTTTCTCCTTTAAAACGCATATTCTTTGCTTTACAATACAAATTCTCTATCTTAAAGACACAAATATTCACACATGGTGAACCGCAAGTTATAAAACACTATAGTTTATTCTGAAAAATAATAAATAAAATGCCAATTTGAGCCGACACTGGTTATTAGTGTGTAATATATAATATTATTTATTTAAAGTGATTATTGAACGTATATGTTTCGACCTACGGTCAAGGTCTTCTTCAGTACAAAAGATAAAAATTAACAAAATTACATAATGATAGCGCATACATGTATAAAACTAATAACATAAAAAGAAAAAAAAACGCGTGGTGGTGATGTCCGAGTTAATCTTGATCATTTAATTACTAAGTTAACTAAAAACTATACTATAATTTATATCAAATTCTACATTAAAAATATAATTTCTTTAGTACTTCTCGTGTATGTCTCTCGGTTTGATTAATTATAACAATTACAATTTATTTACAGGTACATCCATCTACAATTATGCCTTATATCACGCAAACTAAACAAAATATTAAAAGTACAAATGTTAATACAAATGGTATGGTACTTTAAAGAAGCTTTATCTTTCTGTCTAGTAATGTATAAATTGTTTGGAGAGCAGCATGTACGGACATTTACTTATGCTATCGTCTACTTAGATCAATATTTTGAATTCGTTTTGAGGACCATTTTATTTCTTACATTATGTTGCATATGTCAAACTATTTATAATAAGGTATATATTATAATAGTACAAAAAGCATTAATAACTATTTAGCATTAATAACTAGAATAATAAGCACAAGCAACAATGAAATTACACATGTCAAAGTTTATTTGAAATTTTATTCATTGAATGCAAAGTTTTCAGTTTTACTACAAACTTTCGTTTTATGTTAATATAATTTCAGATAAGTGAGACAGTAGCAATTCTTCATAAATTGTCCAATTATAATCTCGATGAGGATTTACGTGAACAGGTAAATAATTACAACAAAATTTTATTTTAGAATTTTAACTTCTTATGCGTCATTTTATTAGTGCTCAAAATCCGGATATCTACATAAATATCATTGAATAATTATGAACAAAATTGGGATATTACATAACAATTGTGTTATTCTTTTATATATTTTAGAATACTTGTACACATACGTTCTAACATCACAGGTAATAGAAAAAGTTTCAAAAATTATTTTGTATTTTATATAACAAAAGCGAGTTTTTAAAAGTTATTTCATACTATCAATATTCTACTATCATACGATCTGTATCCTACTATCACTATAAATATTGTGCAAAATAAGCTCAATATATTTATATTGGTATATATAATAGAATTGAAAATAATTTTTAAGGGTTTTGTAGTTGGTGTTAATATGTACAAATATTCTAAAAATACATATAAAAAAATACAATATGTTAAATTCATAATGTTGTATTTTTATATTCATTTTGAGTTATTTATTTTTTAACCATGGTCGGCCTTGCTTCTACTCAATATCGTTAATTTCACTAAAACATTATAGTTAAATAACTTAACTCTTGAAAATGTATTAAATTTGATTCAAATTTAATTTATTATTTACTAAATTTATACATTAATATGAACGTTCTACTTTCAAATTAAAGAATGGATTGATTTTGACACATATTGAAGTTAAAAATAACAAAATGTGATTAAACGTAAGGGATAGGGTTGCTTTTTAATATCTGCGACAAAGTAACATAATTGACGTTTTATAATAATGTCTTAAATTTATTCATCCATTTGATAAAATTTATGCAAGTGTCCGAACTGTCAAGAATGATAGTATAATATTTAACGCTTATTAAATTATTTATTTCAATTAGATCTGGCAGTTTATATTGCAAATAAAACAGAGAGAGGTAAAATTTGGTTTGGGACATTACTACTATGGATATAATTTTATCTGCTGGGTATGTCCTATTTTAAATAAAAGTATAAAAATATATAATATTCATATATACATATATATATACAGGGTGGAATAGTAACTCTGTTCACTTTCTCTTAGAATATTTGCCCTATTTTTAGAGATAGGTAATAATATATTTATTGAAGTTATATAGCATCAAGGGAATATAATATACTACTAACAGTTTTCCTATAGATGGAGGCGCTTCGGAAATTTCAAGGTCACCTCCACTTTTTTAAATGGAATTGAATTTTTTTCACAATATGATTCTTCTAATTATTGCATATAAAAGTATCACTCATAGAAAAACTATTACTGATATATTGTACCCCTCTTGATGCTATATACAAATTCAATAAATATATTATTTTATATCTCTAAAAATAGAAAATATTTCTAATGGAAATATTTCTAAGTGGAGAGAGTTACTGCTCCACCCTGTATATATACAATTAATTCTTTGGAATTTAATCTTTTCGCTCCTAACGCTGGCTATGTTCGGCATCCACGAAGCGATCCGTATAGATGAACACTGTCTACAGCCAGCATTTGCGAAATAATTTATAATGTTCCTTATAGTAAAAGTTACGCCAAACCATTCTGTACAGCCATATATCAAGCGTTGTTAACACTGATTTTGTCAAATGATGTTTATATTTAAACATAATTAGCAGTAGTAGTATATTGATACCTGTAATGACGCTGGCATGAAAGGGATAATTAAAAAACGAGAAGATCTTTTACAAAGAAATTCTAATTATCTTTTAGGACAATCCCTTTTTTTTTCGAAAACATGTCAAGGTAGCGTTGTTCATGCTATTCGGGTGTAAAATGAAATTTTAAGCGCCAAAGACTGTCCACATACATATAATGTGTACACTTTTGGCGCGGGGTCGCGATCAATGGCGCTATTCCGCCCGCTTTCTGAGCGAAAGAGTTAACAAAACTATTTTCATTAAGTATATATAATGATAACATACTTTCTTTCAGACGTATGCCACAATTTTGTCCGTTAGGATAATTCTTACGCAGGTATATAACAGACTTTCCATTCTCGCAATGCATGAGAAATTTTGTTTGATTATGGTTTGATATGAATAAGATGGGCGCGCGCGTATATAATTAAATGCATTTTATTTAAACCAAAATCTCGAATTTTGTCATAAAAATAATCAGAAATAATTTCTGGTTGTTATGACAAGAATTGAGATTTACATTTTCTAAAACTAGAATTATATTACAAGTATTATATTATTAGGATTTGTTTAACATTTTTTAGTTTGGTTGGACTCAACATACTCTTAAATTTGGATAATTAGAATCATAATTAATTTTAGTCTCAACGCACTACAGTCCAATTATTGTGTCAGTTGACACAAATCGGGTGAATATGCTGTATTGTTTTATGTCGTTGTGTTGTTTTCTATAGTAAATTGGAATAAAATAGTATAGTATCATGGAGAAAAAACGTCTTCTCTTTCCGTCGTCAATATAATTTTGAGAAAAATGTATAGAAATTTTGAAAGTATTATAGCGATAGGATTAATTTGGATTTCTCTATGTTACATATTACTTTGTAAGTACCTCACAGATTATGAGTGCATAATGCGCATCATTTATCCTTGTTTACATTCGAGGAAACAAGAAACATTATGCATAAAAATGCATAATGTCTCTAAAGAATGCAATTAAATGTATAATTAGACATTTCAAGGAAAATTTTAAGTCGTAATAAAGAATTTTATCTTAAAGATTGAAATGGGCAGGGGAGTAGCTGATTTGACGCAGAATGCCTTATATATACATATACATATGTATATATATATACATATAT